TGTGGACAGCGCAAAGCTATCGAAAGCCTGGGTGCTATCGAAAGCCGGTTCGCAGTGCGAATTGCAAGGATGCGCAGTGTTGAACTCGCACTCGTCTACTAGAGCCTACCAATACGTTGTTCCCAAGTCTGGCGGCGTATGTCGCTGATATTCGTTCGGTACTGCAAGCTGCACATGTCGACCCCGCCTTTCCCAAAACAGTTAGCTTGTGAAGCTTGGCAGCCATCAGTACATTGTATATGAGGTACTTTCTAGCCTCGTAACTCTCGTCTTTCTTTCATATCATCGCTCTCAGGTCATTGTGGATCGCAGTATCGATGACCAGGTCCCAAGACACGTCCAAGTCATCTCCCATCGGATGCCGTGATTACATGCCTCACCTACTGCTACCATTGAGCTACTTTGCTTAACGCCATGCCTATCGTTGCTATCAAGCCCGGTGCGACCGTTTTCGTAACCGGCGTGAACGGGCTCGTAGGAAGCCATATCGTCGACCAGCTTCTGAAGCGAGCCTACCATGTTCGTGGTGCAGTGAGAGATGCCGAGAAACACAAATACATGACCGAGTACTTCAACGATAAGTATAAGGAAGCTACGTTTGAGCTGGTTGAGGTGCCGGATATGACAGTCGAGGGCTGCTATGACGATGTCGTTGATGGTACGTCAACCCAAACTCATTAGTGATATCCTGACTCCTAACATGAAGGCATTGTGATGTGTAGGTATCGAAGGTTTCATCCACGTCGCATCGCCGATCGGAGGTATTTCCGACGTCCATGAAGCGATCTCGATTACCGTGAAGGCAAGTCTAAATGGCCTCAAGGCCTGTGCAAAGGTACCCTCTTGCAAAGGCTTTGTCTTCACTTCGTCGTCCCTTGCCGCGACGTTTCCTCACCCAAACGTCGAATTCTCAATCGACGAGAACACGTATAATGATGAAGCGTTGAAGATCCTGGAGAAAGAGCCAGGTAAACCAGGGCTATTCGTCTACGCCGCGATGAAAACGGAGACCGAGAAGGCGATGATGAAATGGATGGAACAAAACCAGCCAGGTTTCGTGTTCAATCGCGTTGTAAGCAGAAGATCCAATGCTCTAGGAAGGACGTCGCTAAGCCCAGATAGTTGCCAAATGCCAATTTTGGCCCCGTCGTGATCCCCGAGCACCAAGGCTTCCCTTCAACCATCGGTTGGGCCCGTGCTGCATGGGAAGGTAAACAGCTCGACTTTTGGACCACTTCCGTTGGTCCGCAATGGTACGTCCACCCCGTTGACTGCGCGCTCGTACACATCTCCGCGCTGATCCACGGCGATGTTGAAAATGAACGTCTCTTTGCTTTTGCAGAACCGTAGAGCTACAACCAGATGTTGGATATATGGCGTACACTGTATCCCGAAAGGAAGTTTCTGGATAACATTGAGGGCATGGGGGTTGACAAAATGAGTTTGCCAAATGCCAGGGCCGAGGAAATCATGAGCTGGCTGAAGGGACCGGGCTCGAGATGGGATAGTCTTGAGAAAGGCTTGCGAGAGATGACTGAAACTTGGGTTTGAACGCTCCTTGTTATTTAAGTCGCTGGGTATGCGACTGTCATCAGCTGTGTAGTTGTTCAGCAGACTTACCATGTTGGCAATGAAGTCATGTCAATCCACGTTCCTCGAACACGTCCTGATCGTATCTCCTTCCGTCGTCCAGTGAGTGAAATCCTTCTCGTTTTCGAGTCGAACCCGCCCATAACATGAGATTCTTTGCGCAACAGAGGATGGAAGATTTTGGAGCGCGGCCGCGGTGACCAAATCCTGCACATCAAGCCACTACAAGCCACGACCGCTCAGGGCGCAGGAAAATTAGACCCTTGTCCCCCGCAGAAGTAACCTACGATACGCGGGGAGGAAAGTTGGGGTTGGCGACAGCAGGTTGCCAAGTCGTGGGGTTATTCGTGGGAAAATGTCACCAAGACGAGGCGTTCACTTGGCGACGCATCTCATAGTCTGGGGATACATCGGTTAAATCTGCGCCAAGTTTGCTACACCACCGTTCTCGCATCGTCATTCACGGAAACAACCTGGATGCCAGTTCTTCCGCTGGCTTGGAGGCTGTAATACCGGGGTAGCTTTGTGGAAGCTATGGCCTTGTGCAGCTACACGAGCATATGGAAAACGGTCGCGCCAGGATTGTAAGTGGAATCGCGTGGGAACAGTGCGCGTGATGAGGCTTCTGGACGGAAGGAGAGCTGGGCGAGGAGGTGCTGTGGGTGATATAAAAGCTAGGGCAGCTGCAAGCAATGCAAAGTACCTATCCTGCATCTCGACAGTCTTCAATTGACCTAGAATCTCAGTCAGAAGAGCTCAAATACCCTCATACTTCACAGCTAGTCGTCGCGATGAAGCTCTCTACCTCTGTTATCCTCCCTCTTCTTCCCGCGCTCTCATCGGCAGCAGTGATCCGTCGTCAGAATGGCGATGGACCCCAAGGAGGCGCAGACTCCACTCAGGGCGATCTCGGTGCACGACCTCTTCCACGATTCCCTTTCCCGGTTACCAAGTTCCCTGTACCGACTGAGACGGTCGTCCTCAACGAGACCATGTACATTCAGCCCGGCCAGGTCTTCGATGGGCAGATGAAGCGTTATGAGCGCGTGGAGGGCTCGTGCAACGAACAGGCGGAAGGAACAGACGCCGATGCTGTCTTCAATCTTCTACCTGGAGCCACAATTAGGAATGTGGTCATTGGAAAGCACCAAAGCGAAGGCATCCACGCGCTAGGCGATGCATGGGTCGAGAATGGTAAGTTTCGAGACCGGAGGTGATTTGACCAGCATACTAACTTCTTGTCATAGTCTGGTGGGAGGACGTGTGCGAAGATGCCCTTACGTCCAAGGGCCTCAACACCCAGCTTCGCGTTATCGGAGGCGGTGCTCGATCTGCAACCGACAAGATCTTCCAGGATAACTCACTAGGCGGAAAGTTCAACATCACTGGCTTCTACGCCGAGACTTTCGGCACCTTCTACCAGTCGTGCGGCAACTGCTTGAACCAGGCGAAGCGCAATGTCACCATCCAGAACGTCATTGCCGTCAATGGCACCAGGATGGGAATAGTAAGCCCCCCCCCCAAGGTCCTCCTCTTTCATTGTCTTCTTATTAACACATGGGTAGATTTCACCCAACTACGGCGACGAGTACCGCATCAAGAACGCGCAGGTTGTAGACGTCGAGCGCTGGGTCGACAAGGAGATCGGAAACAACGTTCAGACCGTCCCATACACTGTTGGAACAGGTCCAGATGAGAAGTACGCGCTGTACAACTTGACACGCGATCATCTTACCGACTTCGAGGGCGAGATTCTGAACCAGTATGTTCCGGAGAACCCGTACGAGTGGCTGGAGGAGTTCTGGCCCGAGGGCACTGGTGCCGCGAGGAAGTAGAGCGTTGTGGTAATGATCTAGTCAATATAATCAATAATGATAGCATTGTGATACAAAAACTTCTTTGCGCGTCTTCATCAGCAAAAGACCTTTTCGGACGTATACCTAGGTACGCTTACGGTGCACGTGTCCAGCCTCGTGCATGATTGTCGTATGCCGTACCGGTGATTGAGATGCAGACGAGGAACTCGGTAGGGGTACCATGACTAGAGAATGCTCATCCAATGCGCACCGCCGGTGGATGTTGTGCAAGACGAGACGCGTGAAGAGAGACGCGTGCGCGCGCCGTGCCTGTTGCCCGGAAAATCTGGCTCGAAGCGGACAAGAGGCTTGGGAGCACAGACCTCCGACATCCGACCCGCTCAGCCTGCGTCCCTCCCCATACTGCCACAACGCCGCGAGAATGGAGGCATACAACAAGGCTGAAATTAGCATGATCATAAGACTCGACCAAGGTATCCCGCCAACGCATACCTATCAGGTGCTGCAGGTGGCGAGTGGCTGACAACTACCCTACAACTTCCTGCTTACCTGCTAGCATTTTCAGCTCAAGGCATAGCACGCCTCCAGGCCGTTCGATGAGTATAACCTACTGCTAGTCCTACGATTCTTGGTCATTGCGACAAAGCTTTGGAGCGAACTTTCCTGTCACTCTACTTTTGAGCTTCGTTAGTGAGGCTACAACCAACCCTTCACGCCTGCACGGCCTCTGGTCAACCATCGCAACCTCAGCAATCATATCCGCCGGAAACATGAAAAGCGACACCGCTGTAATCATCCCGGATGCTTGGGCGCCTTCGGTCTTCGGGCAGATCTGAAACGACACCGCCAAAGTCACGAGTCACCAGGTACCCGCAGTCGCTTTCGATGCCTTGCACCTGACTGCAAGAAATCGTACCCAAGGAAGGACAACATGCTCAAGCACTTTAGCAAGAAACAAACATGATTAGTCGCGCTTTTTCGGAGCCGTTACTTTCTTTGGAACTACACTCATTCACGACTTGTAGCACGTTTTCGAAGGCGGGGATCTCTTCTGCGGACATCTCACAATTGCTAATCTCGATACAACTCTAAATCTCTTATTCCTCGTGTGTTGTCCTCATCTTCCGACACCCGTCCACCCTGCTACGGACAACCTCAATATCTCCAACATGGCATGGGCTCATAGTTGCCAACTCAATGTCTTGTACTCTACTGTACCCATATGAAGAGTCTCAATAGAGCTTCGTTACACAGAAATCGCTCGCCTTCTACTCAAGGCGTGAGGATCAATGCTGAATGTTCTCACTACGCTAACAAGAACTAGGCCCAAGTAAAGATGCATCAACATCGCAGTCGTATATTGCAAACAACCCTTCGAAACCTTATTCACGCAAAGAAAGACTAGATTTCTTATACGATGTATCCCGTCCCCACAATCTTGCCGTCGCCGTCGCCCTAGTTTCCAAGTTCATTCGCGACCCACGCCCCACCACAAAAATTCTCACCGCACCATCTCCAGCATTTCCGATCATTAACCACCATGATAAATTGTCTAATTTTCCCTCCCTTCATCAACCAATCAAATACCACTTCGGTGAGATGGCCGAGTTGGTTATGGCGCCAGGTTAAGGTTACACTTAACACATATTCCTGGTCACGTAATGTGGCGTGGGTTCGAGTCCCACTCTCATCAGCATACGTCTCTGTTTCAGAGATACCCCAGGTATTCTTTTTTGTTGATTTTTGGACATTCCTTTGAGGTTTTGGTGAAAGGGCGTAACAGACGCCACCACAAGGCGCCAGCCACCTGGAGATCTTTTGAAACACTTCTTTCAACACAGCTCGAACCATTGAAGTCTGGCATCCATACTCTGATCACGCTTTAATAGCCCACTGGGTCGTTGGTGACACCGGGCAAAGAACATGGAAGTTCCGCTTCTCCTTTTTGAACAGCGAACTCAGCCGACACATTGAGATCATGTTTGCGACTTCGAATTGAGCTCCAGTCCAGCCGAGAACGAAGACATCTAGCGTGGCGGTGTTTATTTGAGTAAATAGAAGGCGTGGGTAGGAGCTATCACATGCCTCCTCTGCATCTGATATTTGAGGAACACAGAAGGCGCCAGCGACATACCTCGAACGCAATTTGCTTTTGGAGACGGAAGGATACTTTTTGGAATAAAGAAGAGAAGAAGGAGGATAAGTCGTGGGCTTTTATATGCACAGAGGCAGAGCAAGATCCATGTTTGAGATGTGATATTGGCACTGAGAAGAGACCAGACACTCCAAGCGCGTTCTTCTGAGCTGATTTGTAAGGTTCTTGGGAACAAAGACATCATAGGCGCTCCACGGTGTTTTAGTGATAGAAGGTATGGCTCGAGCCTTTCACATGTGGGAAGTGAGTATCATTTTTGAGAAACTGAGAAGGCGCCAGCGACATGTTCACGATAAGCCGCGTTTTTGGAGGATATCAAGAGTAGTTGGTGGAATGAAGAGGCGAAGAGGGCATCCAAGTGACAGATCTTTATGTGCACGGGAAGAGACGCGCGGAATGTGACCTTGGCGTTCAGGAAGGACAGCCAACATAAAGCCTGTACAAATTGTTTTTGGATTGATTTGCATTCCGCTCGAGGACGGAAACATAGGGTAGAATGCTGGAGGATTTGATGATAGCAGGTATGGCTCGGGGCGTTCACATAGAGGGGTCGTCATCTGTTTTCAGAAACCCAGAACGCACCAGCGACATGAACCTTTCTATATTTTCTTTTGAAGGGAGAGATAGAGACTTTTGGAATAAGGAGGAGAAGGGGGTAGCTGTGTAGCAGATATATATGCGTAGTAAGAGACGCATGGGATCTGATCGTTACGTGTAGAGGGTATGACCATTCTGGGGTAATCGCTTCTGGATTGGTTTCCGATCTGCTCCAGGAAGGAGACATGGAAAAAAAAACTTTCGTTTTTGATAACAGTAGGTGTGGCTCGGAGCGCTCACATCGCAGTGAAATGTGCCTTTTTTGAACAGAGAGTCGCGCAACCAACATGATCCAACGAATTTCGTCTTTTGGAAAGACTGTCAAGTGTTGGTGTAATGAAGAAGAGTAAGAGGCGTCCAAGTGGCAGGTATTTATACTCAAGAAGACCCGAGCGACATAGCGTTCTTGATGGTCGCATTTATCGTCATCGGCAGTTGACCTCGTGTTTTTGGAATTCATGTTTGCTTTCAGGTAGGTTGTTCGACGGCAGGCGGAGGACATTCGTTGTCTTCGTCAAAATTTTGGATGGAGAAGATAATCAAGATATCGCTCATTTCGAAGATGTTCGCGGCTCGTCCGAGCAGGCAGACATCGGTTTGGGGTTGACAGTTTTTGATAATACCTAGGTAACAGGCAAGGTCTGGAGCGACGACATAGTGGTGATTTCGGATGCTTTTGAGAGACGCGGAAGTACGACTCAGACATGTACCAGTTGAGTGTCATTTTCGGAAAATCGAGAATGGGGCGGAATATGAAGAAGAGTGTAAAGGTATGAGCGGGTAGATATTTATACCGACACCGAGACGCCATGCGGTATGGCTTCTTGCGGAGGCAGCGCCATTCATGTCGAATACTTCTTGCTCTTTCTGGCCACCATCAACATGTCGTGCGGTCTATTTTGGTGAGGGGAAAAAGGCGAAAGACAAAGCTTATTTGGATCCGCGTTTTCGGACAGAGAGGACCATGCATGAGCGGATCCTCTGGTTTTGGTATAAGTTGTAAATCTCAGTGGGGAGAACATACAACACTACTGCACAAATTTAAAAGGTAGAAACCATGGCATGGAGTTCTCATACTCTATCATTGCTCCCGTTTTGATGGCAGAGGAACGTCCTCTCCACACATGAGAGTAGGGAAGGCATATTTTGAAATTGAGGGAATGGCTGTAAATGTAAGGAAGAGACTGAAGAGCTTGAACACGAGGTGCTTATATGGAGATGAAGATGCACAGGCCGCCATCTCGTCGCACAGATCATGGGAAAGTGATGATGATGATCACCACCACTACCACTTGAAGACGCTGTCCCGCTGCTGTTACGAAGGGAGGGGATAATTGTCTCCTTCTAAGTCCCGGTATAAGGATGTTGGCTTTAAAGCGCACGAGAAGGCTGATGAAGACCGGCGTGTGTAATACAAGTACATCGTACGAGTTCCGTTCAACTGGTGGTGTTGCGAAGGACGACATCGTCTGCCCCGTTTCATAGATCTTGGTAGCTTGCACATCTCACAACAACCTCCTCACGTGCGAATCCACAAACTCAAGTGAAGTGGCTTAACATATTTTATCATTTGTTTTCCCTCTTTTCAATCTAAATGACGAAGATGCTAGCAACACTGCCATCCCTTCACATCCATCCGAACATATACACATCCCCCCTGCATACCCATCTTTGCCTCGAAGCAATCCAAGTATTACATATCTTTATACTCTCGAGCCAAATGCAGAACACCAGTGTTTCCAATCAAAGCCCGTATAACAACTCCCAAACACCAGATGCCTTCATGGCCCCAAAAGGATTGTGACGATGCTCCGTATATCACTCCCCACCAGAAAGCGCCCGAATCTTTTTGTAAATGAGTGGCGAAATATGGACAGATTTGAAGATTGGCGTAAAAAGAAAGTGTTTTGTGATATGCCGTGATCGTAAGCGGTGAAGCGTCGAGTTCTTGCGTTTTATCGGATTTGCCGTTTCGTAGATTTACGTGTACGTGTACGAGTATCGAAGAGGCACTTCATCTACCAGACACCAAACTGGTACGTAAAGTAAAGCATAGAGCCAATCGTCGTACCAGTAGTAAGCAGCATAGCAGCAAGCGTCTTCTTCTCAGAAAGCGAAAGCGCGCCGTTGCAGTTAGGGCAAGTGTATCCATCCTTGAGCGAAATGTACTCCTGCGGCAGATACATGCCAAACGTGAATCCAGTAAACGCTCCCAGATATCCAGGTCTCGGCGCAGCGGTAGCACTAAGATCCGAGTCGTAGATGAGCAACTTGTAGTTCTCGGTCAGGAACGGTGCCTGGCCGTCCGGTGTGTGCTTGGTGTCCCAGAGAACCTCTGTTTGCTTCGCGGAGATGTTGACGGCGATGGTGTAGGTGGCTTGGTTGGCGGTGCAGGAGGCGAGGACGTCGATGGCCGAGGGGGTCACGGAGAGGGAGGTGTAGTTCCAGGCGAAGGTTACCCAGTCGCCGACTTTGTAGAATTGTGTTCCAGCGAGGGCGTTGGGGGTGACCATTGTGAGGCCACCGGCGGGTAGGCGGGCATCGAAGCTGGTGGACTTTGAGCCCTTGCCGGTGGTCTTGGAGCCGCTGGGCTTTTGGGTGCCGCTGGCGGTTTCCTTTGCGGTGCCGGAGGACTTGTTGTCGTCGTTGTTGTTATTGTCGTTGTTATCGTTGTTGTTGTCGCCGCCCGTCTCGGTGGGTTTGTCCGCTGCGGATGTCTTCGCGGGCTGTGTGCTGGCGGGTGCGTCTGAGGCGTTGTCGTTGTTGTTATTGTTGTCTGAACCATGAAGTTAGTACCTAGCCATCCGATCCTGGATTTGATTAAACGTACTGTTGTCCTGACGTCCCATAAGTACGTTCTTGACATCAGTCAACCCATTGATATTGTCGAATGCATGCTTGACGTTCATGGCATGCGTAACCGACGACATGGCCACCACGGCAGCGAGGAGCTGAGACGGCCTCATCTTGTCCGAACGATGCCTAAAACAAGTCTCCTTTGGTCCTTTCGAAGCTCCAAAAACGTGTGTACCGGCTAAAACCTCGTTTCGCAAGCGGGAAGAGTTCCTCGTGGAATCTCAGGAATCGTACAACTCTCAGGCGTGACGGGACGGGAGAGAAGAATGAGCTCCGGAGGCGACGCGACACAAGTATTACGCGGAGAAACGACGAATGGATATTACAGTAATAACACCTCTCCGTCCGTATAAACGAGCGACTGGCGAAGGGTGAAGATAGGCGGCAGGGCGAGGTAAGCGATAAAGCGATTGATGGTTTTTGTCTCAACGGCGGAAGTGAAAGGAGAGGTTTGATGGTCTCAGCTTCGACTTGTTAGCCCAGCCCAGCTCAGCAGCACCAGCCCAGCGGCGGGCGGCGGCGAATGGGATACAAGCAGGGGGCAGCCCGAGAGACACTAGCGCTAGAGGGCAATGCAACCCTAAATATAACATGAGGGCTCCGCAACACGATATTGTTCCGAGCAAGACATCAATGCGCCCATCGTATTCTGGGCTTGGACATTACGAGGACAAGACTTTTCGAGGAGGTGGGTATGTCATGGACCGTCATTGCTATACCTCGTGAGAAGATCGTGGTGTCGACGGGCTGCTTACACGGCCTTGTCATGCAGCGTTGCGCGTTCCACGCACGAAAACGATATTCTCGCACGTCCGTTTCCCGAGCGATGGGCGGGCGGCGCAGCCATCATCGACTTGTCGTCTGGCCACTCACATCCCGCCTCCTGCACCTCCGCTGCAAACATCACAACACAGCACACATCATGTCACCTCACCTCATATTCATCTTTGCCATCGTCGCGATTGCCATGCGATAAATAACACATAAACTGCAGTCGGTCCGCGCATTACTCACTGAAACCGTTGACTGCGAAGATTTGGCCAGGGTCCCCCTCGTCGATCGAGCCTCACGCACCAGGGTCTAGA